TTCCATCATCTCCTTCACCCTCTCATCCTCCATGTCATACTCTAATAAGTATGTATACATTTTTAAATTATTTTCTCATCAGAATATATCACAGTTTATCCACCTGAACTTCACCCTCAAAGAAGCCCAGGGATTTATCTTTTTTGTATCTTGATTCTAGTTTCAACCTTGAGCGCCAATCGGAGGCCACACCCAATTCCTCTAGCTCTTGCTTATCCCTTTATATTCTGTTCTTTAGTAAGCAATTCTTTATACGTGGTTTTCTAATGTCGGAGACACTCCCCATGATTGTAAACAGTTCGGGCTGGGATTTCTGGGTCTCCAGCAAAGAGAGACGGAAAGAGAAAAATATTAGACCAGAGGAGAGAGGATTTTATGGCACAGGACAGGAAAGTGTATACAACTGAGAGCTCAGAAAAGTCTGTGCATTTTTGGACTTGTGTGCTAGGGATTCCCAAAGCAGTAATTTTTTAAAAAGGAACTTATCCAAGCACAGTTGGGAATCCAGACTTCTGGCTTATAACCTAGGCTAGGTGAGTAGTCAGCTTGAGCAGGTAGATCAACCAGGAGGGTCCAGAAAACAGCTTTATTGACTGTGGGGGAGAGCCAGAACTCCTGGGTTTATTTATTTATTTGATTTTATACCCCGCCTATCTGGACTACTAATTCCCAGAATGCCAGGGGGTTCCAGCTGTCAACCCCCCCCCCTTTCAGCTGCCAGGGCTTGGTTTCCTCTGCCTGTCTTTGAACTCCATCGTCTGCCTTCGCTTTCAGTGAAACTCTTTGTTCACCCGTTGCTGTGTGTCGGTTGTGGCTCAGCGCACTTGCGCGCGCACCTGTCCAGAGGGAGAGCTGATGTCACCTTACCACCCTGTCTGTGGGGAGAAGGGAACGGGTGGGGCCCTACACACTCACCTTCGATTTGGATCAGTCTCTAGGTCTGGCTTGCATAGAAACCGGAAATCAAGAAAACGCCGAGATTTCAAAGTTCCCCCCCCCCGCCCCCATTTGCTTGCTTCTCGTAGCCCCAGGCTGTGGAGACTAAAAAGGGCTGCTCATGTCGTGACTTTTTAAGTGAGAAGGCCGACGTGATTGTTCGTTCTCTGCCCTGGATGCATGTGTGGTTCAGGGCTGGAAATGTTTCGATGTGAGCAAAATGCGTCTAAATTCTTTGCCGCTTATAAGCGTTCTCTTAGGGTGTAACCCTGGGCTCCCAAAAACAAAGCAGGATTTGATGTGATTTGATCTGATATTTTGCTATCTGCTGCCTTGCTGACGACACTGACTTCAAGGTGGAAAGTTTTTTTTCCCCCATGACTCGAATCCTCATCCTTGCGAGAATCCCTCTCAGGCTTTGGGTGAGAGATTCTGGAAACTGCTGTAAGACAAACGCCAAACTCAAACCCTTTTCTGAGCTGTGGATTTTATGGGATGCAGGACGGGTATTTTTCTCAGAGCTTGAGAGAAGCCGACACATTTTCTAGAGAAGCCAAGGACACATTTTCTGAGGCACCTTGTGTATTTTTTGTTTGTTTGTTTAAAAAGAAATGCCATGGAGTTACAGAAACTATGGTATATTTTAAATTTGAGCCCCGGGCCAAATAGGCTCCGTATCAATATTACTCACGACTGTGATAGGTCCTGAATCAAGATTACTCACTACACCACACTATAAAGTGACTTCACGTCCGCCTACTAGGCAACTTTTGACACACAATTTTGTTAGGTTGTTGCTAACCAGGAAATAAACAAAGAAAATTCATGCCAGAGAACCCCACAATTTGCAACTTTTTGCTTCCGAATTCGGCTTCTGGTTCCCTGGCATGAAAGGAGAGAGCAGCTTGCGATTTCTTGCTTTCTCCGTTTATAAACATTGTGGGGATTTTTCCCCCAAACAAAAGGGTGCAACTCTTAGCTTCTCACAAATAGGAACAGCCATTGTGACCTGCTCCCAAATCACCCTGCATGTTTGGAGGTAGATTATCAAGGGCCCCCCTTTTTTTGGGGTACTGCTTTTTTTCTTTTTAAAATAAACATAACCGCGAAGGCTTTCCCGGCCGGGATCTAATGGTTGTTGTGGGTTTTTCGGGCTTCTCCCTCCCCCAGGTTCAGAACACAGCCAAAGAGCGCGAAAAACCCACAACAAACATAACAATATTTATAAATCTGCAAACCAAGTCAGAAGCAGCTGTTCTGCTTTTCCCTTTGCAGGATCAAAAGCAGGGTTTTGGAAAACAAGGAATGGCCAAGAATGTTAAGGAATGTGTAGGGTTATCTCTCTTTCTCTCTTGTTGATAATCTCCTTGTGCAAGATTAGGAAAAGAATGCACCACTATCTTTTTGTTTAGAAAATAAGCATGCCGGAAAGCAAATGGAGGAGGTTCTTGTTGCCACCTGGCAACCGGTACTATGGTGTGTGTGTGTAAAAAAAGTAAAGGTCGTTTGGGCCAACCCTTCCCACTCATCAGCACTCAGTGGGTCACCCTGAAAGCCCCATCCACCCATGTCCTTTCTGGGGAGGACATACTGGGATTTTTAAATTTAATTTAAATGATTTTTTTTTTGCCCTTCTCCAGTGCAAGGCCCACCTCCCTCCCAAACTCTTGTCTCCCAGATCGCCTGCCATTGGGCCCCGATCCCAGCACCCTATCCAGGATCTCCCATCCCGCCAGGGACCTGGGAGGGGAGAAATGCCCTCGGGGACTTTGGCCCCATCCGTCAAGCCCACAAAGAGTTCAAGCAAGGTGTGGTTTTACAACCCCATCTGCTAGCAAAGGGTTCTTTTTTAGACTTTGTCTCCTTTCTACCTGCCCAAACGGCCTTTCCAAAGGAGGCCAAAGGTGGGAAGCGAAGCACAGGTGTGACTCTGGATTTCACTTCCCCCTCCTGGCGGGATGCTCTTGCCAGGCAAACCAGGTGGCTGTTCGTTCCTTGGCTCCCACGGATCTTTCTATCAAAGGAAGGATGCTCTCCGAGGAATTTCGGGGGGGGGGCACTTGGAGCCCTTCTGCCCCCTTCCCTCCCACCTGCAGTTCAGCATCCGTTTCTTTCTTCCTTCTGCAATTCCTGCATTACGAATGCAAGAAACTACGAGCCAGGCTGAGGGTTGCGTGGGTGTGGGTGGACGGGCGGGGGTGTTTGTGTGCACACAGGCAGATAAGGGCAGAAAGGGACAGAAGAGTTGCATTTTTGGACTCTGGATCCCAGGAAAGCCCAGCTAGCATGGGCCACCAGGAAATATGTAGTAGGGAGAAATATCTCCGTGATTCTGAGTTGTCGATTGGTTTTGGGACTGCAACTCCCAGAGGCCAACAGGGTGGCTTCTCCGTTGGCTTGAGTTACCCACAGAACGAGCACAACGCATCGTATAGGTTACTGTACTTCAAGAATCCCCTAGACCATCCGCTCCCAACCTTCGGCCATCCAGATGTTTTTGGGCTGCCGTTTCCCAGAAGCCCTTCACCACCAGCTGTGCTGGCCATGGGGGGCGGGTTCTGGGAGTTGCAGTCCAAGGTTTCCCAAGGTTAGGGGAACCCCGGACCTGGACGGATCAGCTAAACTTCCCAGTCATCGTTTCAACCTCAAGAGGGTTAACAGGAAATAAAGAGATGAGTTTCAGCTTTCGGGAAGTCTTGGGCTCCCTCTGCCTCTTGTAGGATCAATAGAGCTTAAATGGTTTCAGGCAATGCCTCCTGGGAGCAGATGGGAGATCTGTTGCCCTTTAGCCCCGAGGCCTCTAATTTGAAGAGCTGTTACTCCTACGGCAACCCCGTAAGAGAGTGTGCGTGTTTACTCTTCGGTGCTTGGGGTAATCGAGGGACATGCATTCTGCACGCCTGTCTTAATTCCTGAAGGAGCAGAGATGTTCCAGTGGCTGTGAGTGCCGTAGGTGAATGAGAAAATTTCCCTGGGTTTCTCTGGGTGACAACTCGTGGATGATGGTCTGGTGTCTCATGGTGGTGATTAACGGTCTGCTTAATTGGCTTCTGTAAATAGCTTATCCTTCTCCTCGTCTCCACCTGCTGCTCAATTCCCCTTTGGTATTAGGTGTTCCAGAGTCTGTTCAAGTTTGTTTTTTTGGACTGCAACTCCCAGTGGCTATGCTGGGTGGGGGATTCTGGGAGTTGTAGTCTATGGGCTACAAAATACCCAAGCTTCCTTCACTCCCCTTTTTTAACTGGGGCACCCTCTGTTCCAAGGTCATCTTACGTGTTATTCCACCCGTTAGCTTTTCTTGGTCTTTTTCCGAGACCCTAGAGCATCTCCTTGGAGTGCAGGAAAAGCAAAACTGTTTTTTTTAAAGGCACACAACCACACTTTGCACAAACATAAGCCCTTTGGAATGGGCTCTGGGCCAAACTGTGCCTGGCCCACTCCCTCCCTATGTGTAAGAGTTGACTCAAGAGTTTACACAGGCTTTGGATAGCGTTCTTGCCCAAATCTGCTATTTTCCCCTTCTCGTCCAATTATGGAGGTTGACGTTCTTGGTTTGTTCGTCTTTAATGTCCATCTGATTTTATTTTATTCTTGTGTTTTTTCATCACTTTGACTGCTCAATTCCTTGTTATATTTTTCTTTGATTTTATCTGACTGTTAACCACCCAGTATAGTGCTTTGCTAGAATCATATCTAAGGCCATCAAGTCCAACCCCCCTGCTCAGGGCAGGAATACAAACCCAAGGAGATCCACCAGGGGATTGGCTAAATTTCTCTTGAAATCAGGCAGTATAAAAATCTAAGAAATAAATAAAACATGCAAACACTAGAAGGGGCTTCATACTCTCACAGAAACAAAAAAGAAAATCTAGGCACATGGCAGAGATTTGGGGGGGGCAAGCCCCTTTGGCTTCTCTGGGGGAGAGAGAAGCTGATGCTCGGCATTCGAACTCAGGGTCGGTGGATAAAAAGGCTGAGCCAAAAGCGCCAGCCTCCCTGGGCTGGTGGAGCAACGTGTCCTGGCCCCTGCCTTGTCTTAACTCTCTCTTTCTCCTCCTTTCCAGCTTCTCTACAAGCCACCCGGGCGCTGATGGTGGTTTCCCTTGTCTTGGGGGTGATCGCCACAGGGGTGGCCGTCATGGGAATGAAGTGCACCCGGTGTGGCGGAGACGACAAGGTTGTGAAGGCGCGGATTGCCATGGGGGGCGGTATCGTCTTCCTGGTTTCAGGTATGTCCGACAACCCAGGGAGGGGCCTGGAAAGGTTCTCCACTATAACCAGAGAGAGAATACTGTGTGTGTATGTTCGTGGGGGGTGTTCATTTTCACCCCTGATTCAGCTGGAATAACAAAAATAAAAAGCAAAAGGGTTTCGGCATCACAATGAGTGAAAAATTGATTTCAGGGCCAGCTTTTCTGGATTCCATGAAATCTTCAGAGGCAGCCCCTGAGTTTTTATAGCCGAGCAGGGAATCGAACCTGGGTCTCTTGAATTGTAGTCCACGACTCTCTGTTGCACCCCATTGGCTTTCCGCTCACCTCGCACTTGACTGAATGTACCCATCATTTCTCTCAACGTGGCCTAGGGCTGATGAGATCTGTGGTCTTAAGAACCACTGGCGGGTCTGTGGTCCCATATCCTAATCTGTATAGGGTGGGATTTTAAGAACTGAACTTAAATCCTTTTACTAGTCCTAATGGTACTAAACCCAGGGAATCAATGGAATGCCCCAAAGGGTGGAAATATTTCTCGACCCAGCGTGTTCTTAGTCTGTGGAACTCCTTGCCACAGGATGTGATGGCATATGGCCTAGATGCCTTTGAAGGACAGATTTCTAGAGGAAAAGTCCATCATGGATGAAAAGCCACAATGGGGAGGTCTAATCTCCCAGGCTCTTAGAAGTAAGGGACCTTCAAAGGCCAGATGCAGGGGAAGGGTTATCGGGAGACGGGTCTCTAGTTGTCTTGTGGGCTCCCAGAGGCATCTGGTGGGGCCAACCTGTCAGAGACAGGGAGCTGGACTCTCTAGTTGTCTTGTGGGCTCCCAGAGGCAACTGGTGGGGCCACTTGTGAGAGACAGAGAGCTGGACTAAGAGGGGCCCCTTGGCCTGATCCAGCAGGGCTCTTGTGATGTTCTTGCGTCCTTATTCTTGTTGACTTATGGCTCAACAAGTGATTCAATGCACTAGCTCCCGTTGAGATTAGGGATTTATGATTGTAGCTTTTAGACTGACTGATTAACTGCCGGGATCATTTCCTTCCGATTGTTTCCAATCTCCGCAAACATCACAAACCGCTCCGGAGTGCTGTTGGTCCCAACAGCTGCCCAGGTTGAACATCTTCCGCAGTGCAGAAGCAGAAGGGACCATACTGTTTAGGGCTGGATGTCAGCAGGGGGAAAAGGGAATGGTGCGGCCAGCCCCCGTTTCTGTCCCTATAATTCCCACTGGAAGGCATCTCTCAAGGAGAAGAAGCAAAATCCCAAGCTTAAAAGGGCCCTGCTCTATAAAACTGAATTGGTAAATCAGGCACGGAAAGCAGAAAAATTACACCCTGTGCCTCGTGCCACCTCTATTTATAAACATATAGAGAACATAAGATTTAAGGGCAACGGTCTTTATGAATGCAATGCGATGTATCCAAAACTTTATGGGGGAAATTCTTGGTTCCACTTTAAATGGGGCCGATGCTTGGATCAACCCTGTCCATTCCATTAAAGAGACTTTAAACCCTTAGGATATGGGTGGATAAGCGCTAGAGGTTGTTCAAGGGACAGATTTCTGCACCCAGAATGGTCAAACACTGGAACAAATGAAACTAGGAGCGGCCCAGGAGGTCTCTGGCTGCAGAGCCAGAGGTTGGGAGTTTTATTCCCCCCCACGGGGCATCCCAAAATAGAGCCAGCCTGGGTAGCCTTGGGCCAGCTGCACAGTAGTCCCAGGGCTACCCCCCAAAAAAGAAGGGAACGGAAAACCACTTCTGAGCATTCTCTGCCTAGAAAACTCCGGAAAAGGTTCCACTTCTGAGCATTCTCTACCTAGAAAACTCCGGAAAAGGTCGCCGTGAATCAGGACCAGCTTGACGGCATGCAGTTGTATTATGATTTGGACTGCTCCTCTGCCGTACAGATCAATCATGATGAATGGCTTGGGAAGGAGGGGGGAAATGGACTAAATATGGGATGTGCTTGTGCTAATCTTTCTCTCTCTCTCCCCCCCCCCCTCCAGGTCTGGCTTCCCTAATTGCTTGCTCGTGGATCGGAAACCAGATTGTAAGCAATTTCTATAATGTGAACATTCCAGTCAATTCCAAGTAAGTTGCTCAAAGAACAAGCAAAGCAGAAGAAGAATGGGAAGGGGTGGGCAGGTTAAGGGTGGCCACGTGTCCTTTTTAATAGCGGGTGGTCCTCGATCAGAAGGGCCATCCCGTCCGGGCATCCTTCGGCGTTGGGGAAAAATGGGTCGGTTATCTCTTCCTGCGTTGCCTGAGATGGCTCTCAAGACAGTTTTGGGGGGCCACAATGTCCAGCATGACTGGCTACTGGTGAACAGGCATGGTAGCCCGACCTCATTCCATCGGTGTCTGCGATAGATTTTCTGCCATGGCAGGGGGGCTGGATTAGATGACCCTCGGGAGCCCCTTCAATCAATCCATCAGTCTGTCTGTCTCTGTCGGCCACCTTCCCTGTTACTGACTTGGACCAAAGTTTGTTAAAAGTTGTGTCTTTTTTTTTTTACTACAACA